TTCAAAATCAACTGTTTAACACACCTCTTCTTTCCCTATAGGGGTTCCCGCGAAGTCTCTGAAACATTAACCGAAATAAGAGGAGGATTAAGACTGCGGCTCTATACACTGCTGGTAAAACTTCAAGAGTACGAACTCTCCATAACCGGACAATGCCAAATATTCAATCTGGCTGAAGACCTGGTTCCACAGTGGCGAGCATTGACACTAGACTCTCGAACTCAGTCTCCGGTCTGCCGGACAAATCGAAGCCAAGGTAGCGGGGCAGCCACACGCCCTATGAGTTGCTACAGCCTGAGGACGCCCCCACTTCCACCAAAACGCCTTCCTCGTGGCAGTCTTACACCGCCGATTTTGCCTCCTCGTTCTATTCCCTCCGGGATGACCTCCCGGACGACAGAAGAACTTCCAACAGAGTCACCACACTCGGAGGGTCTATCTGGATTACCTGGCATGGTAGATCAAGTGAGATGTCACTTTCGGATCTGATCTGCCTGTTGATCTTTGTCGCCTTCTTCTTCTTCTTCTTCTTCTTCTTCTTCTTCTTTTTCTTCTTCTTCTTTCTTGAGCGCATGCTTCTTTTTTCAAAGTCGTACCACTCCCTCGCGTGGTGTTCCAGGTTAGCTAATAAGAAGGCTTTTACGATGCACAGTTTCGTTGAGCAAGCGACAAACGTCCTTGAGCATGTTTTTCCTGATGACAATAAACATGTTTTCAACCTACCGGTGTGTAAAAAATAGCTCAGGTCGAATGAGGGCTGCATCCTGAAGAAAAAGTTCTGATACTAAACGGGAGACGGGTAGCCCCTTGGAGTTCCTTTTATCTGCTCGTAGTTTTCTCCAGTAAACGTAAAGTAAGTTTTTTTAAACGAAATTGGAAGAGTATCATGAGGTGCCATGAGATATACGAGCCATTGAGAGGCTGATCTAGCGGAGGTATTCGAATTTTCTTGGAGGAAAATTAGTGTTAAATTGCCAAATTGTAAGTAAGGCTACCTTTTATAGCACCGATTGGTTGCAGTAAGAAATTCGGCTTATGGGATTCGGCAAATCATAGAATCAAGCGGTATAATTTACTTTCCTTTGGTCCCAATCTTTCGCTGTGGTTACATTCTCCAAATAATTTATTCCACCGATCTACTACTGTTTTGGCTCTCGAGTTCTGTACTGGTCTGTAAAATTCTCTGTCATCACCAAGGGCCTTAGCTTTTTCATTATAGTCTTCTCAATTCATCACGGCAGTTGTGCTTTCCTAATCAACGCGCATAGTAGGCTAGATAGAAACCAACATTAGCCTTCTTCGTTGTATATGTAAGTCCTCAAATTTAATCTTGGACATCGAATGGTTGAATAGACATATAACTTGGAATCTATGTAGTGTCGGAAAACGGTGCCCTTTGTCAGGCCTTAAATTAAATTATTCATTGTTATGGTTGTCCAATCCACTATCCGACTGTCATAAGTGTTCTTAATTCAACTTCTCAGAGGTCACATCAGATCGCAGCGGAGAGTAATGACGGCTTATACAACCACTCGTTTGTATCGCATCTAACGCATGGCTGCTCTCTTTACTTATCTGCTGTTTAGATAGGGACACTCATCCAAATTCTGCGTAAACGAGAGTATGGTCACATATGCTCTGGTCTGGCTTCTACCACATAGATCTTACATGAAAAATCCTTATTTTCTTTCCAGTGAAATGCGTCGTCGCAATGCATAGCGACCGCAGCGCGTTTGCTGCTCTGGTCTTTGAAAAAAATTCAATCTAGGCAAATAATATTGTCGGCAAGGACAAAGGAGACTGGAATGGCCATTTCTGCCTTATCAGCCATCGTCAGCCAGTCATACCCAGAGCCCCAAGTGGTGTATCACCCGAGCCTCGCACTCGCGAGCTTTTCGATCAGAGTCTAACGCACCAACCATTGAGTCA